AGTCCCACAAAAATGTATCAGTTATTGCATTTTAGTTATTAAATACTGTTACGAATTTTGTATTTAGGTAACTAATTTTAGTAGAATTATAATTAAAATTGTTGTATTTCCTCCCGCAATGCAGCGCGAGACAAATTTTAAGAGAAAGCTATGCCAGAAAAGTAAGAATACATGGATACGTGCATTTAACATTGAGTAAATCGATATCTCGGTAATTTGTATTGAAATTGAATTAATGTAATTGACCACTATATTAGCTGTAACCGTAATTCCATCCTCTTATTGCTTTCCAGTAATTTCGAGAAACAGAAAGTACTAGAAATATCTCGCGACCGATTGAAAGCTATAAAAGGCCACAGAGAGAGCATCTCAGCTCCAACTGCTGAGTTACTGTTCTTGCGAGTTATTTAGTTCCTAGAGAACTGAAATTAGTTTTCTCTTTAGATGAGCTTTGTATTGCGTCCTATTTAACGTTTTTAGTAGTCCGAGTTTCTTTACCACTTATTTCATAAAGCTACCGAATTTTTGTCAGCAAATTTGATTTCTGGAATCCCAAACTCCATATTTAAATTTTTTAAAAATTGAATATAGCAACAGATAATGCAAAGCAAGAAATATATTTTTTAAAAATCTGTCTAAAAATCAGCGATGAAAAACACTGCTTTTTTTTTAAATTATTATTTTTTTTTTTTTTTGAAAACTGCTTTCAAATAATTGAAAATCTAAATAATTTTCTATTGAATAATACGTAAATAAAACTGTACCTTTTAAAAATACTGATTACTTATAGATATTGGTCTTTATATTGTAAATCGGAATGATGTATATTACAAATAACAAATTATTAAAATTTCATGAATTTTTTATTTTCGATTTTTAACATACTTGATGCGCAGTAAGAGCAGAATTTCGTAGTGAAAATATTTACGTTAAACCTACTTTGTATAACTGCGCCTTTTCCATCTTAATTTTTAAGAATTATTTCTCTGCAATTTCATTATTCATCAAAATTGAAATGATTATAAATCGTTGATCAGCGCCCTGTTGTCTTGTAGGTCCGCTTCCGCCTCTCCAGCCTATGAAAGTGTGTTTCAGTAAACATTAGAGCAAAATGCAGTAACTCTATATAATACGAAATATTGTTTCATCTTATGGAAAAATAATGTACAATTCAGATACACAAAACAATAATTTCGTTTATTTATTGTTCAAAAAAGTACACTTTAAAGGGAAAATTAAATAATTTTCTGTGCAGCATTTACTCATTCCTTTCCATATTTTGGACAAAAACGTTGCGTAAGTTTGTCTCTATTAACATGGCTTATAAGCAAAACATTCATAACTGAAATACTTTCATTAGTATACACAGGAATAGACTGGTTGTCAAAAATAACAAAGGAAAAAAACAACCTTTGAGGACTCGCATGTTGCATATATTTCAATGGCACATGACAATATTTTTCAGCAGTACAATTTTGTCCAGTCTGTTCCTATGTACATGACTCCCGCAACGCAAAACATGTTTTATAAGACAACCCATTAGCTCTAATTATGAAATGTGACAAATTCATAATACAAATTCCCAGCACAATTAATGCATATCTAGTATATTTCGTTTACTTTGATAAAGAGAACTGTTAATATCTCATAACATCAATAGAAATTCATACGTATGTTATACAAAAAGCTCTGGTCCAATGTGGAAAGCAGTTACATAAAAATAATTAACTCCATAAATCTGCATATGTTCTTTTGATGAAAATATCGAAAATACGCAAGTCTGCCTTCCAAGATTATCACTAATCTTGGAAGAATCACTTGGATAAGAGAAACACGGCCATAAAAGTAAAGTAAAAAAAAAAAAAAAAAATCTAGACTAAATTAAAACATAAAGCGTTGATTACTGCTATCAGTTCTTTATGCTAATTAACTGTTACTTTACACAGTCATGTCCTACTTCCCCAATCAATGATTCATTTAGGTACATTAAACAACTGTCAAATACTTTATAAAATTTGACTTTTAATCTTGGCTATGAATGAAATCTTACTTTAATTTTTATTTTATACTATTTATGGAAAATTTATTAAAAATTTGTTAGCTATCAAACACTGGATGAAGTGTGATCCAATAGTAACCAAAATAGTCATTTAGCAGTTTACATATGAGGCTGAATGTTTGGTCAGCTTCATATGTAAACTACAAAAATTGACTGGAAATGATTTCTGGCTTTAGAATCAGGTATTAACAAATATTACACTCATAGATAGTTTGAAAAATTAACAAAATGCTATGGAAGCTCTCGCTCCTTTGCAGCTTTCTAAGCTACTAAAAGAAATATTTTAGATGTTTTTCAAAATTTCTATTTATTCATTTATTGCATCTCTTTAAAGGCCTTTGCCATGAGTACAAAACTCAGACATAACTTCTTTGTATCTTCAGCATAATGCTAATTATAAAGCTCACAGATAAATTGTTAACAATATCTTTTAATAAAATTTTTCTCCTTTCAGAATAAAGGAATAAACACTTTTACTAACTTTGTTACTTTTTTATTCCAAATAAATAAATATACTAGAATCTAATATAATGAGATCACAGTTATCAATTATTAGGTGCACTTCAAGCACTCTTACTCATTAAAATATCCACCATAAAGAAGAATTATTAACCATTAAGTATAAGAATGAAGACATGTGTTTAATCATTCTAAATTTAAATACTATGTTATTCATTAAGTAAAGTAGATGTACATTTTATGTCTCTAAAAGTATTTAATGCTTGGACTACTAGGTCTTATTAATCATGTTTAGATTAGTAATTAGTTATCTTTAGCATTTGAATCTTAATAAAGAGCTTTGAAATAGTATAAGGGATTATTTATCAAAAATATTAATTCTGTATATTAATATTTTTGATATAAAGTTCTTTTATTTGGAGAAAATAAGAATGGCCAGCTTAATGTATTTCTCATAATAACTACACATACACAATTTAAACATTTCTTTGAAGTTTAATAAATTACAGCAATTAATTATTTATAAATTTACAAAAAAAGGGGGGCTGAGAGGTGAGAAGAATTAATTTTTTTATTATTATTTTTAGTAAACAACTATTTTTTTTTTTTTTTTTTTTTTCCAACGAGCAATACACATCACAATAAATGTTCTGATATTTTTTAAATTTCAGAATATTCTGGTTACACAACATCTGGAAATTTACAATAATGAAAACTATTTTTATAATTTATTACATAAAACAGATTATGAATCATATTCTGATTAATCTCCAATCTGTCATTTTAAGAAAAATGGCTGATGACACCAGTCATCAAGTATTCCCTCCAGTAAGAATGATCACAAAGCCATGCACAAATATACTGAATATATATATTAAAATGTAATAATGCCTCCTTTTTACTTCCTTGTACGAAGTAAAAAGGAAGTATTGTAATCGCAAAAAGTTTCAGGCAGCATATTTCAATGAAAATATCCATTTTGACCGCTATCGAATGCAATTTAATGATGTTTTTGCGTGATATCTGTACCTAAGGACAGAATAAAAGACACATTTCCTCCAAAAAAATTATAAAACTGCTTTAAAATTAATTCTGAATAGAACTTTTTGTGGCGTCTGTACATACGTATCTCGCATAACTCAAAAACGAATAGCCTCAGAACGTTGAAATTTCGCATATAGGACTGCTATAACATGTAGATGTGCACCTCGTATTTTGGTTGCAATCGGCCGCACCAAACGTATATAAATATATTTATATACATATCCACTCTGTTACCCGGCTCAGTGATCTCAGTTTCTTTACTCTTATATGTTAGTAAATTGAACATTTTTTGCTTTAAAAATGATTGAATTATGTTGTTTTTATCTTCCGGTTAAGGTTTTTATGCCTTTAGTAAATCTGTATGCAATATTTTTAGAATTATCAACAATTTTAAAGTTGTTTATGTGCCGCTAAGCCTTTTTTTATGGCGGCAGTGATTGCTTACATTTGAAACAGCAGACTAGTGGATTTGTTGCCAATCTAGAGAAACTTAGCTTCCCAACAACAAAGATAACGCCTTCATTTATTATTGCCAATTAAATCATGCTTAATCCTTTCTGGAATGTTTTCGAGAAAATAAGTGTTTAAGATTTACTTCGCAATTTTGAATATAGATATTTTGAGTTTTTATGTATTTTTGCCTTCTCGCGGAGTGAGAACTGAATTAATTGAGTGAGAAATACTCAATCGTCTGTGAAAAACTGTTTCTTTTTTGTTTTGTTTGATTAATTTCTATTATACATCATTCTAGCTTTATTGTAGTATTTGAATAGAACATGTGGCAACGATTAGATAATTCTATTCTTTAAATGATATAAATTTTGTGCATTATGAGTTATAATATGAACGAAATATAATACTGTTAAGTGAATCTAGCGCCAGAGTGTCGCTATGATAAACAAATACTAGAGTGAATTTTAAAGAATGCATTGATTCTGTTGTGGTTTATGCGCTGTCGGCGAAATAGATTTAATTTAATCCAATAAGTTTAAATGAAATGCAAGAAAAAATGCATATAATTTAATATTCCATACAAGGAAGTCATGTGGGTTACACATCAGATTTTTTACTAGAAGATTACGAGCTCCAGAATGCCCAAGATTAAATTTTAGGCTAATGAAAGAGGCCACACTGGACAAGTGCTTTGTTGTATACTCTTTCACTTATTATATGAAAGATTTATTTTTAAATACAAATAAATCTCACAACTTTCATTTATAAAACACTACAAAAGTGTTAGCTAAAAAAAAGGCTAAACTTCTCTGCTAGATGGACTACATGCAACTGGGCACATTATATGGACGTTACAGTTAGTGAGAAGAGGGTTCATTTCAGCTCTATGACTATTTATGAATATCAAAACATTGAAAGACATATAACTATTAACAACAAACTAGTTTCCAGAAAAATTAGAAAAGCAATTAATACACTTAAGAAGTTTATACGTTTCGTTTTACTTACAAAGGGCATAAAATAGTGAGTATACAAAATGAGATATTGCAAAGTGGCACTTTTTAGTCACTCAATGCACAAATCTAATGAACTTCAATATGTACTTCTATAAAGGTGCCACCAACCATACCCTTTGATATATAACTCATAAAACTTCACACAATCCATGTGAAATGAGAAATATTGGTCCTTTGAACTTTTAGTTTAACTACAATTTATGAGTAACAACTATAATTGGATGGTAGCACCTTCCGTAAATATCAGTGATTCTCAAAATATCAGATTTCTTGTAAATCAAATTTGAAAATATCTAGCTCTGATAGTTAACCTGCAACACAGCAATGATACATAACACAGATTTTGGTATTAAATTTTACTTTTAAATCCCTATCAAACTAAGAACAAATACTCTCAGATATTCAGAATTCAAAAGATATTTACGTATTTTTTAATTTTATAATTCATAGCACATATAACGCAAACATAAGCATTAATTCTATAAGTTCACTAATTTAAAAAATCAAAATGAAATTTCTATGGAGGGGCAAAATGTGATCTTCTCAGAAGATAAGAGGATTTCATGAATTAGTTACTAATGAAATGCAGTCTACATCAAAACTAAAGAGTATATTGCTGTTAATATTTAATTTAAGTTTCCTAACTTAGCAATATACTGTTTATTAATCCAAAAAGTATGATTATTACATAAATTTATGCTTGAATTATTACTTCTTAATATTTCACAACCAATGGTTACTATAGCACTATTTATTTAATGAATATAAGTATAGTTATGCATTTTTAGATGTGTATGTTGTATCTAAACATATCACAGCATGCATTGCAGGTTATTTTTTAATCATAGTACATAACTGCAAGTTTTATTCAGATTATTAGCTTTTGACACTAATATTAGTCAACACAAGTTACCAAAACCAGTCTTCAAAATACTGCATTTTAAAAATTCATCCCCTTCATCCCTTTTTTTCATATTTTTCTATAAATATCTTAAACTTTACAGCCCATTAAAAAAGGAAGAGAGAGAGTATTTTTATCAATAATAAAAAAAATTGCTGCTAGATGGAAATAATTTGAACATCTTGTGTGTGAAATTATATTTTACACTTAAATCTTCACGCAGAAATATTAAGTTAATCATACAACTATTTAGTTTTTTTTTAAAAATCACATTTAATATCAAGATTTAATATCCTAAAATAAATAGAAATTAGAAAGAAAAAAAAAATATTTATCTTTTAACATTTTTCAGCAAATTAAAGGCTGACTTCATAACATTACTATAAAATGGATTTTTAAATTTTATATCAGAATATATAAGTAATAAATACACTGTTCTTATTACATAAATTGTGGTGCAAAAAATTTCACCACGAAGCATTGGGCATTAAATTTGTTACGAATTCTCTTCATCAGAACTGCAATCAGTATAAATAAATGATATAATTATACCATAGACACATTCTAAAAATCAAATATTTTAATGAATTTGTGATTGGAAGAAAGATATGATGTGTCTGTAATTTTCTGCATAAAAAGGCTACTGATGAATATTTTGTCATATTTATCTCAATTACTTTCATGATTTATGCAGTCATTACTATCTCTATCAGCTACAATTTTACTTCACAGTTCTCAAAATGCTGTCCAAAACATAGCATTCTGCGTTTTGTAAGAAATACTCGCATCTCAACTGTAAAATATTTCTACTTTATATAATAAAGCTATCCAGATGTACATGTATGTATGTATATGTGAAATACGTTTTCACTCTAACATTCAGAAAATCACCAATATTAATGCATTAAAGTGAAAAAGGTACAGTTTAAAGAGACAACATCAAAAAAGCAAAAAATATTCCTGAAAGGTTCCTATTAAAACTCTAACACACGATATGGATAGTTATGAAACCACTGGGGACACCGATTTAAGATAGAGAAGTCAAATTTTCTTTCACCATGCATCCATACTTGCAACTCGTATATTTGGATTACGTTGATATGCTTTTAAATATATCTTTCTCATCAAAATTCAATTATTTAATGTCAGATATATAGCAGTTTGTAAAGATAAATAGTAGGCCAATAAATTATGCATTCATAACATGTTCTGTTTAAGAAGCATTCACTTCTTAAACAGGACACATTGGAGCTTTCATAAAAATAATTTCTTTTTCATTATGTTTGAACTGTTCAATGCATTTTATAATTATCATTTATTATTATTATTATTATTATTATGTATGCATAGTTTGAATATACATAATTTTATTGAACACTTTGAGAAAAAGTGTTCTTTATTTTGCATAGCTTGTTTAAAGTAAATTCTCAATAAATTACTTTTCAGTAAAGTATAGATTTTCTAACTACTCTATATTTTTAAAGAGATATAAAAATATACAATTGTATGAGGTTAAATAACATTTTAACATATAGTTAATCTCATTAATATTCAATTCTCGAATTTTGATAAAATTTTCATTTCCTGCTCCATTTGGATTTTAATATGCTAAACCTTGTTTTTTCACAGCTTTTCTATAGCCCTGAAGTTCACTTATGGGTATTTGTTTAAGCAAGGCATTTTTGACTACTGAATAAGATTTGTTTTCTGAAGTCTGCGAGTATAGCCGACAGCTGGATAATGCATAATGCAGACAGCTAATGCCAGATATAGGGCAGAATGTGAAATTGTTGTATAACAAATGAAAATGACATTTTATTTTTTCAAATATTTTAAATTTACTTTTTTCAGATAACATTCAATATTTCCTGACTTATTATGTTTTAAAAATGTTATATAACACACTTTATTAAATAAATACATATTAATATTGATTTAAAACCTTGTTAAAAGCCTCTCTTGGAATACATTATATTTATTTACAAATAAATATTACCAGTATTAATAGAAATGACATTTAATGCAATATCATAACACAAATGGCACAATTTTATATTGCTAGAAAACAGAGAGCTGAAGTCTTCATTAAATAAATATTTATTAAATTCTTATTCAATATTAAGAAATGTATAGTTAAATTACTAAAAAAATTGATGAAATTTTCATTCTATATGCTTAGCTTTTAAAATAATGTACAAATCTTCATTAAGAATACAGTTGCATCAGCTATTCAGATCAAAAACGCAATTTTGAAATATTTTTTTTTTAAAATACTATAACATAAGATTAAATTCTTAAGAGTGTTATGCAATTGAACATGATTAAATTGCCATTTAAAATGCTAAAAGAATGCTTATTTAAAAGTGAGATAAGATGCAGCTAAATATTTTATTAAAAACACATTTAATATTGCATAGATTTTAGTAACTGAAAAAACAACAAACATTCCAATTATCAAAAACATATGGTTCATTAAGGTTAATTTAAAATACAGATCCTCAAAAAAGTGCTTTTTCTGAAATAAATATCTGAATTGAATTACACATACTTAACATATGGTATGAAACCTAAAAGCATATCAGTTTTAGATTGAAAAGACAAAACAGACAGTACATTGATTCTCTAATATAAGGTTACTATTGAAATACCTGCATAATAAAAATCAAATTAAAGGAATGTAACAAAATATATAGATATATCTATATACACACACAGTATTTCGTTTTACAAACTGTACAATTAAACTGAATGATATAATTTCATATTTATCATTATAATGTTTTATGACATTTAATGAAAATAAGTAATAATCTTCTTCATAAATATGCATCATTACATTCACATATTTTAAAAGTAGACAGTATATATTTAGAATTTTTCATAACATCTCCTATTAGGAACATTCATATATTTTAATGGAATAATTTGCACCTACTCCATAAGTTAATTATCATATTTATAATTGAATATACCAAAACATAGCACACAAAAATTTGAAAATATATATATCAATGATATATTATTTTTGCCAAAAATTTATAGCCCCTCATAGAAAGTAATAAAAACAAATATTTATCATACAAAGAAGTGCATCTCACATATTGCATTTACAATTTTCATACATTTAAATACAACAAATTACATATACCTGTAAAAAAAAAAAAAAAAAAAAAAAAAAAAAAATATTCATAGAATCTGAAACTCTATACAGCAAAAATTATTGTAAAATACTATCTTTAATTTTAATTTGAAATATATTTCAATCACACATCATAACATAGTACTTAAATTGAAATTAATTATCATTTTGAAATCAATTAATTTGAAAAATATAATTTTAATTGCATGCTTAAATTCGCCTTTATAAAAATTATCTAAAAATAATGATTAAAAAACAAAGCAATAATTAACAGTACAAATAATAAAACACCCAAACTGCACATTACATTATTATACAGATGTATGAAACTTTAAAGTAAATAAAAAATTTTCATAAATTACTTTATGCTGTACATATCTATTTGCAAGAACACCATAATCATCAATAATAAAAGGGGTGATGAAATGAAGAATTACAAATACTATTTTTTTTTATAGTAGTACAATGCAACATTTCCACAGTTTGCTAAATTCACAACATTAGCATGAAAAACATTTGCATTAAAAGCTTGTGAATCCTATTTCACAGAGGTTACACAGGTACAGATAAGTATGATCAATGCAAATGAACCTAGAGAGCTGTAATGAGTTTCTATCATTCATGTTAAGCTTAAAAAAAAGTTAAAAAAATTATGGATTGCAGCTATTTGTGTGTTGAGGTGAAAGGTGAAGACGCAGATCCAGAACGATGGAAGTGAACACTTTGCCATTTTCCATCTCGCTTGTGCCAAACACGTGTTTCTTCACTTTGCTGTGTATGAGCTAGACCAGCTCTGAAAGGAAGAGAAAAAAGAATAATCTTATTTCAACCAAAAACCTAAAACTAAAATTGTGATTTATATTATAGAAAGTTGAACACAGTTGTTTCGGGTATGCAGAAAATGAGGATAATGCAATTTTGTTTCTGGCCTCTTAAATTTATCCTAATATCTCTCTAGTGCTTGAAATTAATAAATAATAATTACTAGATATTAGGTACTATATTATAAGGCAGTGGGTGCATCCTATAGGCTAATGCCTTCTTGGGCTCATAAAAACAGATGGTACTCTTTAATGCATGGTAATATAACAGCAAGTGAAATGTATACAGTTATATATACATGTAATATTGTATTATACATGAAAATATTATGTTATGTAACTATTATATTATACATAAAATATAACTATTATATTTTATACCTGCAACTATAATAGTTAGCAAATGAAATGTCTGGCATCTTCAATAACAGATTTTATGTAACTAATAAACATTCATTTGTCCTTATGGCTCAAGACTGTTAATATTTGTAGTTTTATAATTGAGAAACCTTATTTTCATATTAAATTTTTGAAACATGTAACATATGTGTAGTATCATGACTTAATTTGAAGATTATTTTTATGAAATGGTTTTTATTGTAACAGATTATTTCCAGATGATCCAAAAGTTAATTAATAATATGATTTAAGTGTGCCATTATGTTTATCCAATATTTGATATTATTAAATTACAGCAAAAGTGCTATTTTCTGGTCAAAATTTTCTAAGGAATATTTACAGAAGTTTTTCTTTCCAATCATTTAAAAATATTTAGTGATCTCTACATGTTACTGAAATTGCAATAATGGTATGCATTGTTTATTGAGAGAATAACATAAAATTTGAATACTATTCATAAAAGAACTTACATATTAAGTTCGTTTATAAATAGTATTCAAATTTTAAGTTATAACATACAGAACTGTGAAGCTTTCTTGAAAATGCAATAATAGTATACATTGTTTATTATTTGAAAAAATAAAATAAAATTAGAATATTATTCATCAAAGTATAACTGGCTATGTTAAAAACTACGAAAATATGATGAAATAGCAAACCAAAGGAAACTATACTCACTTATCAACATACTGCGTGAGACGTATGTATGCAACACATGCACCATCTTCTCCCAGAAGATGAACCGTAGGATTGAGGATTGTAGTATTCAGTGACTTACAATTTTTCCCTGAAGCTAGGGAAAGGATTTACATTAACTATTTAAAAATTAAAACTTTTCTAAAAACACAAATAGTGGTTTATATTTAAAAAAAATTCTATAATAGGAAAATAAGGATGAAAACTACTAATTATTTTTCAACAAAATTTACTGCCCATTAACCTAAATGTTTCTCAAGTATTCAGATTGCTTAATTAAATGCATGATACATAATGTGAATAGCACTTTAAACTCATATATTAAATGAAATTATACACTACACAGTTTTTATTTATACATTTTAGACATAACACACGCTGTACCATTTTCTACTCGAACTGTGAAAGAAAGTAACAGTTTTGAAGTTCACTTTAAATTTAAAAATAAATACCAACTAAAATAATTAAGAGATTAAATTAGAATATTTTCATTTTATGAAAAGGCAAAAATAAATGTTATTTCTTATTTTTAAAAAAGTTTGCTGATTGTTCATAAACTATGATCACTGATGAAATCAAAATTTTCTTCCATTTGTCAATGCTTCATTAGTTTACTGGAATATGGACTACCACTGATTTTTAATCTGTTTTCATTCATTTAATCATTTAGTGATTGTTTATGAAGATTTAGTGTTTAACCATATATTTTTATTTTCTTTCTATATGTGGTCACATAATTTATTTAGAATAGAATAGTTTTAATGAAAGCTTACTGCTGATACCAAGTCTAAGAAAATTCCTGTGGCATCTATGGTTGTACATCATCATCATATTCAACTTAATGTTAAGGACAGATTTCAGAAAACTACAGGATGTTCTTAAGACAAATGTAAAATTTTCAAAAAGTTTAGAAATGTTTCAGAGAAATCACCAGTGCCATGGCCAACTATTAATAGCTTAATACGAGTTATATTTTCTTAAAACTTCAAAAACATGGTGTGGTTATATATATATATATATATTACAAATTTAATATAGCTTATAATGATTTTTGGATACTAATAAATTCTTTCTTGAATTCAATCAAGATAATTAATACATGAAAATTATATATTAGACTCAATGATTAAAAACAGCAATAACAAGCATTTTCCTAATTTTGGAATACTTAACATCATGCACCCCCCCCCACACACAATAACATAGTTATAAGAATTTCAGTCCATTATACTACAATGAAAAATCTTACTATAAATCAGGAAATTTATCAAATATTATACAACAGAAAATAAAAATATTTCTATCAGTTTTAGTATTAAAGTTACATTTTGTTTTATTTACTTAAAGAATAATCTTTTCTCAATCATATAACTTAAATTTTTTATATAGCAACTTATTATGACAATTTTGAAATTAATATTAACTTGTTGTACTTCAAAATCATAAAGCATACGACACAGATTAAACATTTTAATGGATTATAACATCAACAACTAACATAAAATTGATCTTTCACTGTTCATAATTATGAAACAAACATTAATAACAATAGTTTTATAAAAGCTTCATACTATTTTGCTCTAAGCAATTAATATTTAATACAGATAAATTGTGATCTAGAATTTTAAACAACTGTGCAATACAAAGACAAACCACCATGGCAATAAGTAAGCATGTGAAACATTAACAAAGGCAGGAACAAAGCACCACACCACAATTACCTAACACAAGCATGCAGAAAACACTTTTGGCTCACCATAAATGAAATTCCATTTTGTATGCAACATGAAAAATGTCTTTAGTGAAGTGTTCACAAATACAAAAACATATTGCAATAAACAAACAATGTAATGAAAATGCATTAATGAGAAGATATGAATAAATCACTTTTATACATAGAAAGTTTAGAAAACTTGATACAATAACATAAAAAAATTGTCAAAATGAAACAAAAGTAATATCTAGAACAAAATATGACTAAAAAACTTCTCACATAAAATTACATAAATGCTAATGAATAATCTATTTTTACTTTGAGCATATGAATCACAAAATTTATAAATGTTGTTTTAATTATAAAATAATTTTAATAAAGAAACTGATTTGAAATATATTACAGAATGAATATTTTTGCATTATTAAAACTCAATTACCATTGTCAAAATAGAATTTGTGGAAATCCATGCCTTCAATCAAATTACCAAGAGCTTCAGGTTCAAATGCTGTCATATGTGGATCACAGTACTTTCTATAAACAGAAAAGCCATTTAAAATGAAAATCATTGTATTCTTAATAAGTTTGTACTTAGACAACTTATATTATCATTCAACAAACATATGAATTAGAAATTTTAATATAATGACACTTAAAAAAATGCTATGAAAAGTTATATTATACACAGTGTCTTCTTCATAAAATGCAAATTATCATTTAAAATTAGATATAAATGAAGGCAAAAGTATGTACACAGTATATCTACAAAGTTTTAGAGCTAATTTTTTAATCAAATTCCAGTACATGTGTCAAACAATAATTGAAAGCATTTATTACAATGACATTGCAATTTGCTTTTCCTAAAATATTGTCTACCTGTGGTCTACCTACATAATTTTCTGCACAGTAAATCATTTGCTTTGAAAAAGACAGCATCTGCTGTTTTGAATTCAAAAACTGAATAAAGTTGAGCAAATGATCTGCTCAAATGACAAGCATTAATCTTATATTTCCCCCCTCAAACAAATTATGACTGAGATGAAATTTGATACTTCAACCTTGAGAAAAAATAACAATCATGGGCCTGAATTGAAGAAGGTTGATCATGGTCACAGGAACCTTAGTTTCAGAAATCTTGAGTAAAAACTATCTTTATGACTATTTTTGATTAGTAAGGGATAGTTTACAAGGATTTTGTTCCCAGGGAAAGATAATAAACTCCATATTTTAAAAAAAGTGCAATGGCAGGGTTATGAATAGAATTTAGTTCTCTAAGCCTGAAAAAATTCAATCAAAAACCTGGTTCCTGCTGCACTGACTGTGCATCACTATTCTTTCTCATCCAACAGTTTCTACCAAATAAAAGCGTCAAAATTCTCTTCAAGAAACTGAAATCCAGAGGTCTAAATTATATTCCAATACTTCCAAAACTTCAATTAAGAGTTAAACAAATTACATTAAAAAACTCTGCATTAAAATTTTATGGACCCCCTTCTTTTGAGCTACGGGGACACTCGTATCCAGGTGGGCTGAAGAGAGCCTCCAATTCTTACATTAATAAGGATATAACTCTTTCAATAAATGCAAGTTGAAGGATCAGGTGCAGTTTTAATGCAAGAAAATAAACTAATTGCTTATACTTCCAGAACATAAAAAAGATTAGTTAAAAAAAGGTTCATGCAGAAAAAGAGCTTGTAGTAATCTTTTGGATGCTCTAAATTTAAAAAAGATATATATATATATGATAAATATATTATGAGTTAAACTGATCACTGACCATTAGAAAACATAACCAAGAATGTCTTCTTAAGACCTCTAAGAAATTACAAAGAATGATGTTAAATTTATAAAAATATGATCTAGATGTATGCTTCAAAACAAAAAAGACTTACTGATAACAAACATTTTAAATACAGCGTATTTGAAAACAACAGAAGCTGATAATGAAGATTCAGAAATTTGAATTCTTATTCAACATCTAGTGACAAAATTGATGAACTAAATAAAAATGAATATAACCAAATAGTTCAGTGTTTAAAGAAATATATTTTAGGAGATTGACCAGAGGAAAAAAATTAACTAGAATATCAAATGAAAATATTTTGGGACTATAATAAAGATAATAGGAAATGACAATAGCCAGTAGAAAATGACATATTTTTTAAAGGTGGAGGTAATTATAACAATTTCTTAGTGAGGGCCTCTTAGAGTAGGACAATGCAAAAAAAAAAAAAAAAAAGAGATGATGTCTATTTTAGTCAGTTATGAACAAGTACACAGAAGATAAAATTTCAAAATGAAATAAAAATGTATGGGAACCAATGATACCACCTGACGTTTCTAATTTATTTTGTTACAATGCTGGCACAGATTTATTTGAGATTAATAAAGGTATTGATAATCATTCTAACTTTTTCTAAATCTCCAAATTACTCAAAGTCAGATAGTAATCAATTATATGAAATCTCATTTTGCAAAGTATATCCTGATATCTGATAAAGTAATACGCAAATAAAAACTTAGCCAAAAAAATACCGATTTAAATGCATTATAAGCAATCTATCCCATCAGTAGTCAAGAGGATTAGCAAAGCATTTAGCACAAATGACAATTATTACAGAAAATTTAAGAAAATTTTGCTGATCTTTAGCATAGTTAACTCATATGAATACATTCAACTAATCAGTTGTTAGGAATGCCAACTCAGTGATATACGAGTAAAAGAACAGGAATATTTTTTCATACATTACAACAATTATTAAAATCTCAAGTGACAGAAAATGTAAAAGGAAAATTCAACCAAAAAAGAAGTAAGAAGAAGTCACATTTTGATCATTATAAAAAATAAATAAATAAAAAAGTGATCATTACATAAAAGAAATTATGTGAGGTTATATCAAGATAATTATTGTAAATTGAAAATCGTAGAAGTACTGAAGAAACCCAAAGCATATATACTAAGCAGGAGGAGTAATATTTAGAAAAAATAGAAAATATATCACAAATAGATTAAAAAACAAACTTTTCAGCTCTTGAAAAAACAAAATATACGTATACATACGGAAGATGGCAAGAAATTATAAAAAAACAAGCTAGATATTTTAATTACACTTTTTTTAGGAGGAGGGTTAAGATATAACATTTTAGATTTCTGCAAATGGAAATAGATTTTAACAATGTACAAAAGAACATACTTTAGAATTCTGTATTTTATCAAGTTTAAAGTTTTGCCAAACAAAACAGAAATACCTTCTTTTATAATATCCAGATATGAAAGGATTTACATATGCAGTTCCAAATAATAAAATCTCTTAAAAAAAAAAAAAAAGAGTATAAAAATTTTTAAGTTTAAAAGTGAATTGATGTTACTGTAAAAGCTTACGTATATGTTTCATAATCTCCAGTATTTATAGCTTCTATTAACTGCTCTGTTATCTTTACAATCTCCTGCTTCCTGGCTACAATACAGTATCAAAATAAATTTCAGGCATGAGATAGATATAATTATATATATATATATTACAATATATATGTGTTTCAGTACATTTATGTGATTTAAGAATTATTTATTTCTAATTATGACTGTAACAAGTATGTAAATAATAAAAAAAAATTATGCACATGTTCATCTTAAAAGTGAGAAGTGTGAAGCTTAAAATAATATAAGTAAACATTAAATAAACATTTTCTCTGTGTACCACATATTTTATAACCAGACTTACTCAATGGATAAATTAAATATAAAAAATTACTTCAAAATATCACTAAATTTTTTTGATCAAAATATGTACCTCATTACTAGTAAGTTGTGATCTCATAGAAACACCTGGTAGAGGGAAAAAAAAAAAAAAAAAAAAAAAAAAAAAAAAAAAAACTAGGCAAGAATATTTAAAAGCATAATATAAATTTAATAAATTATTTAATTTTTACTATTTATATAAACAAACCAAAAAAAAAAAAACAAAACTCTTTGGTGCATTTAATTGTTTGAATTTTAAATTGCTTTGCTTATATAAAACACTTGATTTATTTGAAGTTAAAATTTTTGTGCCTACTTCCCATGTCCTCTGGAATAATTTTATGTAATAATACATACTTTTAAAGAAACAATCTATATAGTACATTCATAGGTATCAGTGGTTGATCTGTTAACAGATCATAAAAACAGATCAGATTAACATATTTGACATTTAGTTGTATTTAAATGCCAGCTCTACTCACATCTTTTATACTTACAATTAAATAAAAATTCTGAATCATAATGAACACAATACAAGCTTAATCTCTTCACTTTCAGTATATTACATATAGTGAGCTTTAGTTTATCTCCATAGGCACACTGTATCAAATACAATATGGGATTGAAGGTTGCTAGCAGCCCACTATATCACATTTGATACACTTAGATGGAACATTTTATTTGAAATATTATATGTGAATGAATGATGTTAGAATGCTACAAAGCTTATGAATGGAATGGAATGTTTTGAGCATTAATATTGTTGCTATGAGTATTATTTACTATTTTCTTCTCCAGAAGTTAAATATAACAAGTGCATAATGCAAGAATTTATTTTAATCTCACAGAGTACAATCAGCATAAAGTTTTGTATACAGGTATAGCAACAGGATAATGATATTAAAATATTAAAAGTTTTTCACTTCATTCTTGTATGGTAATACTTTAAATACATAATAATAATAATCATTATTCCTAATATTGCTATTTAACTGATTTTTAATATTTATTTTAATTGTAAATATTTTCTGTTTATACTATAAAAGCAACATGTGCTCAAGAGTACAACAAGGCTCAGGGTTCCAAGGTCATGGGCTCACAGATAAACTTCCTTCTCATGGTGCAGGGAGCAAACAGATATATAAATGTTGGATTGAAATATGTTTAATAAAATGGTCATATAAAAATTACTTCATCATCAAATAGATGTAACATATAATGTACATAAATATTAAAAGCTCTTAACTTCAGATATATTACATATTAAAAAATAATATGCACTTAACATGCTAGAAGAGCAATACATACATTAATTTTTGTATAAATAAACAAATCTATAAAATGTTAATATTTTAAGATGTCTCCACACAAGTTATTTCAAATAAGCTACCAAAAAATTATTAAGAGTAATATTAATTTTTTATTTAGGAAATGCTTTTACAATGGTGCACTGACAAGTTAACAAAACAGAGCATAAAAATGCATGCTTCAAAAGGACTTTCTTGTTAATTACTTTGTTATTATTATTGCTAATTAAAAACACATAAAAGAATAAATACACACAATCCCATCATATTCCTTGCTTCACACAAAAGAGATTTAAAAAATAATTTCATCATCACTATTTGACACAAAAAATTAGCAATACGTCATATAAATACACATTTCTAGCATTTGATCTCATTTTAAATGGAAAATCAGTATCAAATATAACAAATGGCACTTTATAAAGATAGTCTTGTCAGAAGTCCTATATTAATTACTGATTTAAACTAACAGAAACATAATAGCAGTTACAATATAAACAACTCTTAGAAAAGAGCATTAATCAATTTTCTCTTTTTAAAAAAAAAAGAGACATTTGTTAGTTCAAACTGTTACTGTGTTTTCTTATTTCTCATCCAATTATTTAGACACAATGAATAAATGGCTATTAATAACAGCTTCAGTCATTTTATAGTTGACAATTGTTGGAAATGGTAATAGTTAAACGTATTTCTTCTTCAAGTTATTGAGAATACCTTCATGGCAACTACTCCAGTAAAAGAAAAAGAAAAAGATTTAAAAAAAAAAAAAAAAAAAAAAAAGAGGAGAAGAAAACAGTTATTGATTCGAGTGTTTTGGCAACAGAAAGAAACCAGAGGAAAACCATAGAACTCGCATTTTTATTTAGAACTTTATTATAAACTCGATTTTTTTGGAGTTTTTGAATCAGCTATAATCCAATATTGTTGTTTTAAATGATTATCATTTTAAACTAAAAATGTAAATAATATTTATCAATATAAAACTATGAAAAGCTAAGTCATGTCTGATGATTATTTCTATGTTACGAATGATTTATTACAGAAGACATTAGTTTTTTTGTTCCTAGCAGCTATTTGGAATGTAATCCAGCATCAAGAAAATCATCAAAGGGGATAAGTCTTGAAATTTATTGAGACCTTATATTAATAGATTTAACACTAATTGGAGTATATACTAGCTTTATTTAAAAGACATGCAATATAGTCATTATGCTTTTGAAGGACATTTTTTCTTCTTTTTTGGGGGGAGGGGGTAGTTAAACTATGCATCTTCCAGACAGAGATTACTACACTTTATAATAAAAGAATTATCCAAAAATTATGGTTAGCAGGTGCATTAATCATTGCAATATGATAATTAAATGGTATAACCCTCTTATAGTAAATGAACTCATAAACATCCACAGAAGCCTTTCATTAACAATAATTACGTGTAAATATATACATATCTCAGCATTTGTAAAAACTGAGAACAAGGGATAATAAAGAATATAAAGTGGATGAATACTGTAAGGCATCAAAATGGAAAGCAATAATACTTTTAATAACATGTTTTCAATAATAATACCCAATAAAGACACATATGACATAAATAGAAAGAAATTCAAATTGTAGAGTTCAAAGCATCATATAGTAGTATAAATCACATTATTACCATTTAACTGGATTATTCAAACTCAACTGTTCAAAGAGGAAAAAGTTCTCCTATTAATGCTATGACTCAAAGTTTTCATCTTAGTTCATAGCAGCAAAATAACATAACACTGAAGGTAAACTGCCTAATTTAACAATACACTGGAGGGGAAATATTTCCTTCCATGATGATGTACATGGAAACAGCAGTTTCATCTTCCAGGATAACAATATGCCCTGCCATCTAGAAAAAGTAGTAAACTGGCAGTTTGTTTCAAAATCAGTCTACGGAATTTACTATGGCTTGTACAGTGAATGGATCTTACTCTGACCAAAACTTTATAAAATTAATATACAAAACGAGCACAAAGTTTAGGAAAATTAAGTAAGGTTAACTGAATTTATAATGTCATGCTGTATTGTTTAGTATCATGAAGAAACTGTAAAGCTTTTATGTGACATGCTTGGTAATTGAGCCTTAGCAATTAGAAGCAAAGGCTGTCCAATCCAGTATAAACTTATGAGTAGTTACTAACATATACAATGATCCCTGACTATAAGTAAAAGATTCTTGAGAGTTCAGAATGTTAACACCCCTTTTTTTTTCTGATTAAAATAATATTGTAGCTTACAAGGAAAATAGTTTTTACATTAACTTAACAGTTCTTTTCTATTTTTGCATCAGTAACATTAAGAAAAATGCAGATATTTTAAATACATTGCAAAAAATCTGGCTTCTATGAAACTGTTTCCTATGAATTAAAAAAATAAATTTAGAATTGGCATTGTTTGAAATGATTGATTCAAATGCTCAATATGCATATATTACTAATGAGGTATAGCAAAAATTTTGCACTGAAATGTAGATTTAAAATAATCAACTTCACGTAATATTGAAAATATTTTAAACACATTATGGATTAAATTTTTTTTTTCAGATAACGAAGTGTCCAGAAATCATTTAAGTATTTCTAACAGAATGCATAATTATTGAAAATTTACTTATTTAATATTAGAACTTGAGCATCTTATGCATCACTAACAGCGGGCAAAATAAATCACATGTAGGGTTATTACTATTATTTTTCACTAAACAGTTACATAAGAGTTACTGTCACTTTTAATTTCCATTTCTCTATCAGAATGTAAATGCAGTAGAATGAGATAATATTTAAAAGAAGGTTTTGGAAGTTTAATTCAGAACAAGTTCTGCCTCTCGAGGCCAGATTACTAGGTTTTTGCTAGTTTGGATAAGATTTCATTTTTCAGCTTTGCAATTATAATGCCGACATTTATATACTTGATGCTGACATTTAAATGTTTATTAGATCTTTGAGCAAACTTTATGTTAAATTGGACTGTGGAGTTTGATTAGTAGCTGAACTTTAAATATGAATATACTGTTACTTAAAGTTATATTGCCACAAATAGTTGGCTGAATTGCAAGCACAAGTTATGCATTTATATTCCAGTTCTGACTTAATAAAAAAGTTTATTTAAAACCTTCTTAAGACTTTGTAGTTCTGTCCTGACACAGAGATTCCTTTTCAGATATTACACTGAATTATTTCAAGGCATTAAAAAAAATAGACATTTACCTACAATTAGTCTATTTGTTACCAGGTGAATCTCAAAATAACATTTCATAAAGCATAAATATGCAGTCTTTTTAAAATGAAGTACAGAAAAATGAATGAAATATGTATTTCAATCATGAGAAACAGTATTATCTCTTTTCTAAACATGCACATACATATCTGCTATTATAATTTATGGCTGGCCATAACAATAATGAAAAGCTTAAATACTTACGCTCAAGAAAATTACTGTTATGGACTTTAATAGCTATGAATTAGAGTAGGAAATATTAGATATACTCAGTTAAAATCTTATATATAGCATGAAAGCAAATTAAAAAAAATCAATATTTTAGAGGGAATGAAAGATCAATTATCTTTATCACATATATTTGAAGAGTAATCAGATGCTGCATTAAAAACATATGGAGGAAATTAAATATCATTACTATTTTGATATATTCTCTGAGTATGCTGAGCAATAATTTTAGAGGTAAACTGTAAGTAAAAATATAAAACAGATACTACAAAATGCTTAAAACTCACTTAAATGACATAATGTAAATTAAGGAGAATTTTATTCGAAATAAAGAACTATACTTTCATGTACTCTCTCACACACACACAAAAGAAAAGAAAGAAAGAAAAAAGAAAAAGAGTTTATGCATAAATAGAGCCTCTTGCAAGATACACAAATAATAAAACATAACAAAGTAATTAAAAAGCATGAACTAATTTGGCGATTTTTCAAACTGTGTAAGATGCAATTTTTCAGATTAGGAGATAGAATTGCAAGTAATTTAAAATTTAAGCAATGCAAATACATATGATATGCAGTTTCACAAAACATAGAACCTGAAATGAATACCATTACATATTAGGGTGGGCTCGGGAAAAAAAAAAAAAAAAAAAAAAAAACTTTCCTTCTTCTTTTTATTTTCCTCTCATCATACCCTTAAAGTCGCCTATTACTTAATTCAGCATACAGGAAGAAAGAAAAAAAAAAAAAAAAAAAAAAAAAAAAAAAACCTCACTAAAATTATATTTTCTGTATGCACACTGCACTCAAAGTTTTGAAAAATGGGGAAACATTGATATTTTTCATCAATTTTCTATAGCTACTAAACTCACTATCGAAATGCTATAGGTTCTAATGTTAATTTTAGGGCATGAGTAACACAAAAAAAGTTTAAAATCCATAATTCCAAAATATTTATTGTTGCGCAAAAAGCTAAAAAAAAGAGGAGCAATATTTCATAAAGTACGCTCAAACCTTTCAAACGGCAACTATAATTGTCAAATATTATGTAACTACATTGTATAATTGTAAAAACTATGTAACTATGTATGTGATAAATGTTTCAGATAAGTCTTATTTCATTGACAAAAACAAAATAAGAAGAGGAAAAACTCATAACAACAGAAATAATTTGCAGAATCAATCTTTTAAGGAAGCATTATATGGTCTATACTTTGGCGGAAGAAAAGACATGAAGTAATTAAAAAAAGTAATTCAAATTTTTTTTTGAAGTACTGAAAAATAGGATCATTATTCTCTCATACATAACCAAGATCAGAATATATCAAGCATGTTCCTCCCTTTATGGGACTTCCTAAAGGTACATCTCCTACAATAATTTCCCATTTAACTGTATATAAGCTTTCCCTTGAAGAACCTGACGTGATAGCAATAGATCTGTAATTAATGCTGGTTTGAAAAATGGTAGATCAGAACCATTGGCAGTACACTGCAGCGGGCGGTATGTCTTTTACACTTCAATAAACTGCAGTTTCATCACTTTTTCACCTCTTGGATAGTGTTACCAGGCCCCCAAATCCTTCAGTGGACCGAAAAAAGAAAAAAAAAAAAAAAAAAAAAAACTTGCAAGCTGTGAAAAAAATTCTACTAATTCATTCTGAACATGTTCACTTCTACTTCTCATGTTGACAGAAAGAGTTGAGATAATCACTTGATACTTCCGTTGCCATAAAGCTAGGTAAAATGTTAGAAGATTTAGCTCATAACCCTAGTCCACTATCATACTCAAGATGACAGCAAATTGAGTTTCTGGACTTGAATTGTTACACACTTCTCTGGTTAAATATCAAAACCATCAATGACCTCACAGACAATCTAAAGATAGTTTCAAAAGGCCTTATAACACCGCAATATCTAACTCAAAATTTATTGCAAGTCATCGATACATCAATTTACCAGAAAGCTTTATTAGCTTATCCCAAAAATTTTATCCTTGCAGTAGCTGTGGATGAAAAAAGACATCAGAGAACTAGGGCTTCACCGATTTTTGAAATGCTCGATTCCTTTCCAAGGAAAGATTATTTGATACTTCCCCAAGCCAAACTGAACTTCAAAGCAACAGACTATGTCAACATCATTTGAAGGCCTCAATAGATTCTGAGTGATAAAGCAGCTGAATACAGGTAGTTCAGACCGTGATTTTAAATCCCAATGAATGGGCTGGCTGCATGGGCATTTTCATGGTTTTCCTCATGCATAACATGGATATGACCCTTTCCTTAAAAGTCCTCCATGAGACATCCCTTCCTTTGGCAGATACCATTGTTAAGGAACATTACAAGGACATTAAAAATCTATTAAAGCTTGGCACATCACTGCAACTGTATTTCCAAAGCTTCCTTTAGAAAGCTCATAAAGTATTTTCTCCCTCCTTTATGCATGTCTTTGTGATGTAATGGTAGCACACTTGGTGCGTATTCGAGAGTTCAGGTTCGAATCCTGACAAGGGAACTTTTCTAACTCCTTTCTGAATGCCTTCGTGGTGTAATGGTAGCACATTCGGCGTGTATTCAAGAGGTCCAGGTTCGAGTCCTGGAGAGGGCACTGCACATTTTTCATGTCTCCTGCTTCAAAAATAAATTAATATATCTACAAGCTTCCTTTCCAAAGCTGTAGAATGCTGTGTCAAACTCGTGGCTAAAGTACCGTATTTGATGGCATATAAGACACACCCTTACTTAGATGGCCACTGACAAGGGAAAAAAATTCAATAGCGTGGTTTCTTTTAGTTCTCACATTTCGTAAGAGCCAAATTATTGAATGCAATTACCTTCATGTATAAGACGAAGGTAACTTTTTTGAGACCAAATTTAGGAAAAAAAGTGCGTCTTATATGCCGTCAAATACGGTATTTAAAAAGATGTGTGACACTCATGCAAAAGGTAGCTTGATTAGGATAACCCTCTTATCAAGATGTACTTATTATTATGACAGAATTTCCACAAAAAAACTAACTTTACTAACTTTAAGATGCACTCCTTTGAATAAAAACATTAAAAATGATAAATATATTCACTGTATACTTATTAAAATGAAAAAGAAAAATTAACAACAGCAAAATTTCACGATTTTTCAAAACTTTTGAGTGCCGTGCACAAATAGAAAACATACACTGGTGGAAAATTGCTAAGGATGAATTACAAATAGCTAAATAGCAGGCAAAAAGTAAGTGTGGTTGGATACTAGATGAAATTAGATAATACCAGAATACTAAGACATAACAATAAAGATAATTAATTGTGCTTTGAAATTCAGAAGGTTTTGAAAAAGTTTATGGAACAAAATGGTTATTTTGTGCTAAATACGTAAAAGTGAAGAAAGTGCAATTACCATCCGCAGGCATTCTGATGTAACATGTCAGTATGGTATACGGCCACCATGGAGAGCGATGCAAGATTCCACCTGTTGTGTCATGCTTTGCACAACATTATCCAGCAGCTGTTGGGGTATTTTATCCCATTCCTCTGTCAGTGCATGGATAAGGATGGCCTTGTCATTGAAGGGCATTGTTGACCAGCAAGACTCCTCCCCAAAGCATCCCAAACATTTTCAATAAGATTCATATCTGGAGAACAAGCCGGCCATATAAGGCATTGAATATCCTTGCTCTTAAGACACTTCTAGACAGCGAATGTTCGATGGCATGTTGCATTGCCGCCCATGAAAACAAATTTGTCACTGACAGCACCATGGAAAATACAGACATGAGGCAGTAGAAGATCATTAATATATCGTTAGCGAGATAGTCCCAGTTGGAAGCACATAGCATGATGTATGGCCATTGATCATGAGCCCAATCCATATCATAACACTATATGTAGGATATCCGTCCTTTTCCTGTATCTTTGCCAGAGCATATGCAGTACCAGTCTCACGTCATATCAGTTGTTGTCCACAATCAGATAAGAAACTGAACTTTCAACTGAGAATAGTACACAAGCCCAGTCGTCTTCCCTCCAATTGTAATGCTGATGATACCATTGCCAATGGGTAGAACAATGACATTTAGGCAATGGAATGCACACAACAGGACAGCAGGCATATAGTCCTCCTTGATGCAAACATTTTATTAAAGTTTTTCGGGAAATTCGCTTGCCAGAAGCAGGAAATAACTAATTTGCTACCTCTATTTGTAGTAGCTGAGCTGCGTCAGTTCTTTTTTGTCAATAGCACTATGTACACTGCAAGGGGGGGGTGAAAGATGACATTTCTTTATCTCCCGTACTACTGGGCCAACTGACAAAACTCGTGTTTTACATGTCTTGAAAGCACGACTTAAGATATGTATTAAATTTATATATAGCATTGTGGTAATATAGGTATTTTGACACAAAATCAGACTTTTCTGATATGACATGCCAATTTTTTCTCATATTTCGATTCTACGACTCAAATTATGCCAAAATGCGAAGTTTTGTGAGAACCGCACAAGTAGTTTTTAAAAAATTAGCTCTCAAAAGTTCTCTCAATTAGCTCCTCCATGTTAATTGAATTTGGTATATATTTATTAATACCTATTTTTTTATTAAACTTATTTGATTCTTCCTTTCATGTTTCGGGCCCACCAGCGGCCGAGTGGTAAAGTTGCTGAACGCTGGTAGTTCGGTCCGTGGTTCGAATCCTGCGAATGGGCTGGCTGCATGGGCGTTTTCGTGGTTTTCCCCATGTTTAACGCGTATACGAGCCAGTTTCCCTTAGAAAGTCCTCCACGAAGGCATCCCTCCCCTTAGGCAAATAGCCCTAGTGTGCTTTGCCATAATTAAATACACACAAAACCTTTCACGTTTTGAAATTTAGGCTTAATCCAAATATAATTAGTAAGTTTTTATGATTTATTTAAAAAATTTGTATTTTAAAATATTTAAAAAATGTTTCGGAAAGAATTTTGTGTTAAAAACTCTAAACTGTATTATAAAATTTAAAAATTTTTACCATATCAGCTTAAAGTAGATGTATTTCTAGGCACATCTGCAAAAAATAAGAGTTTTTATTCAAAATTTTCTAAGATATACATGAATTTACGTATTTTGGAGCGTTTTGAAATTTGGCATCTTATCACATTTTGAGCGATCATAACGCCAAACGATAATGTGGCTTACGCATTTTGTTAAAATTATTTGAAAGTAGAAATGATGACATCTTTTTCCAGCTCGTTTACAATCAATGAAAAAGAGAAAGTGAAAGTACGTAGGTTACTATAAATTAAGAATTTCACCAAGTTAATTATTCTTAGCACAAAATTTTTAAAATTTCTACATAAATTTCTTAACAAGAATTACAAAATTTAATACTTAGGCATAATTTGAGTCGTAAAATCGGAATATGGGGGGGGGATGGCACGTCATTTAAAAAAAGAGTACGATTTTGCGCCAAAATATCTACAGTAGAATAGTGCTTACCATTTTCCACTTTTAAATTTTTAATATTTTTTACTTGTTCCTTCGATTGTTTTTTACCGAGTTTTATATTTTGCCTTTAACTTATTTCACCGAATAGTATTTTACTGTGTTTTATAATTTACATTTTATTTCACCTGTAGCCTAATATGTCACTTCATTCAATTTAATTAGTTTTTTTAAAACTCTTAAAATTACCGAAAATATTTCACATATAGTTTTTTATTCGAACTTGTAAAAACTGCTGAATATGCATATGTTGGATTTTTCTTGGAGCTACAGCTTTTCGTAACTTTTCGGCGAACTAACTACAAATTCTCTTCTCATTTCCTTAATTTTGCAGCACATTGCACAAAAATTTTGACCAAAATTGGTCTTTTTTGTATTGTTCTTACAACTTTGCTTATAATAATACATATATCCTTAGTCGCACTTTCGAGACATGAAAAGCGCAATTTGAATTTCGTCAATCGGCCTAGTAGAACGAGAGATATTGAACTGTTTTTTCCCCCCCCTTCAGTGTACCTATCTTTTGCAGGTGTGTACTTATGAGCACGACCTAGTCGTAACATTTGCTACATATTCCATTTATTTGAAATGATTTCCAAAACTCGGAAACAACACTGTGGCTCACGTCAAATCCCCTAGCAACATCTATTATTATTTATGCAGCCATGCCTAAAATCATCCAAGTGATGTCAAAAGAAATACCGAAAATTGAAAGTTCGTCAAATGATTCTTTCCTGTTAAATTACAAAATTTAATACTTAGGCATAATTTGAGTCGTAGAATCGGAATATGGGGGGGGGGTAGCATGTCATTTAAAAAAAGTACGATTTTGTGCCAAAATACCTATAGTAGAACAGTGCTATATATATATATATATATATCCTAAGTCGCACTTTCGAGACATGAAAAAGGCAATTTGAATTTCGTCAATCGGCCTAGTAGAACGAGAGATATAGAACTGTTTTTTTTTTTTCGCAGTGTACCTATCTTTTGCAGGTGTGTACTTATGAGCACGACTTAATCGTAACATCTGCTACATATTCTATTTATTTGAAATGATTTCCAAAACCTGGAAACAACACTGTGGCTCACGTCAAATCTCCTAGCAACATCTATTATTATTTATGCAGCCATGCCTAAAATCATCCAAATGATGTCAAAAGACATACTGAAAATTGAAAGTTTGTCAAATGATTCTTTCCTGTTAAATTTTGCTTTTGATTAACAATGGTCAGTAATCAATCAATCAATACAATTATTGCCGGGATATCGCTGGTGTTACGCAATTTGTCCGGCTCAGTGACCAAATAAAGCCATAAAGGCACATGAAGTTGGAAATTCCAGAATCAGTAATCCCAGATAAAAGCTTGGCAGTAGAAGAAGGAGCCTAAAACACCACAGGTATAGAGAAAAAATCAAAATCTTGACAAGTCCCTGCATGAGAGTGAGGAAGGAGGGAAAGACTCCATACAGTGGCCCCATCTAGTGAAGCCCATCGGTACTAGAAAAATAAATTTCTAGAAGTCATCCATTAGCGATACAGCAAAATTACAAATCCGTTTGAATCATCTCTTCAACAATTCCAAGAGCAAGTAAAACTTTTTCTTGGGGGAGTTGCATCTTCTTGCATTTTTCAACAAATTAATAAATTTGCAGATTAACAACTGGAAACTTTTATCAGCTTTCAAATCCAGAGCAGTTCGTTTCAACACATCAGAGTAGAATTTCGAGGGAAGAGTTCGATCTTTAATGGCTTTCCAGACACCGTAGGAAAACTATCTGAGGTATTTAACTCAGATAATATTGGGATTGGGATCAGTTTCCTAGGATCAGCTTTGTTGCCAATTTTATGGCGAAATTCACAGGACTTCGAAGAGGCAATTTGATCCAACTTACAATTCACAGAAATTGGCTTTTCATCTTATAATGATCAGTATGCATCAAACCAATTGTATCTCTTATCAGCGCTACCACATGATGAACAACTTCGGCAATTTAAAATTTGCATATGCACAAAACATTTTAGTATAAAGTGTTTTCTGCTTCCTTCCAGCATGCCTTCATGGTGTAACGGTGAATATTCAAGAGGTCCAGGGTTGAGTCTTGGCAAGGGCATTGCACATTTTTCACATCTCCTGATTTAAAATAACCTAATGAGTCTACAAATGGCATCTGAACTAAAAGGTGATGGACGATAATTCGTCACCACCAGGATTTAAAGATTGGGTCCCCATTTGCCCTTTAAAAGGAGGTGTATATAAGCTATTTTCTCTCTCCTTGCTTCAAAATAACCTACTGACTCTACAACTGTACACCACACTTATGCTAATTTCCACATTTTCTTGCCTTCCATTTTGTGGTTGCTATCGCTGCTATTGTCATCCGTCCTTAACAATTATCCACCAATGTACAATATGACCACTTTTATTTTTTTCATTTTGCATAGCTAGGTAGGCAAAATTTCTAGGGTACGGTGATAGAAGAATGATAAACTGTCTTTTTCGGCCCACCCAGTTAAACATGCTTTACTTCTCATTAAATTCTAACAGCAAAATTTATTAATACAAATAATAGATGTTGACATAATTCTCTAAAAAAAAAAAAAAAAAAAAAAAAAAAAAAAAAAAAAAAAAAAAAAAAAAAAAAAAAAAAAAAAAAAAAAAAAAAAAAAAATACTGGAATTTACAGCTCATTATGTATTATTTTTCCCTCAGAATAATTTTCCTGACATCTACTAAATCAGTTCACAAGCTAATAGAAGCATATTTCATTTATTATCAAAAAGAATAAAAAAAATTATTACTCATATAGTTTTTTACAGATTGTTACTTTTTTAGATGAAAAAGTATCCTTTCAGCATTTTTTTTTTTCCCCTCACAATGCACATATATAAAGTTTATACATGTTAATTTATGCTGACAATCAGATTTTTATATCTAAAACTTCACTTTAAGGCAAAACTTTGTATGATGTTTTAAAACATGGTAGGAAATCAGTTTAAAAGTCCATATATATAAATTTTTTTGACTCGAGTTATTATAAGCAGTACAAAATTAAAAGGGAATTTGTTTCAATTTTGCTACACTTACAATAGCTATGTTAAATGAGCTTAAT